GTAATTAAAGGAAAGCATTCTCTTGCACTGTAATGCACCATCCTTGTAGCCGACGTCACGGTTGTGTGGCTGTGCAGTGGTTGGTTATCTATGCAGATGCCTTTGTCATCTAATTCAGTGATAAATCCACCAGACGATTTACTGCCATGTGACCTATATTGTTTGCTCCTACTTCTACATCGGTCCCGTAATTCCTACCCATAACAGAACATTTACTTAAAATCAAACAGTACCCATTCAAAATGGGACGATAAAAAGACTAATTTTGTTGAACCTAGTCGGGCTAGCATGTGTATTTTGATAAATATTGTTTTGTGGTGCCCAAACTGCTTAACATCCCTTTTTTTCTCCTGTATACCTGCTTGACATGCAAATTTAACTGATTTTTAATTAACAAATTCGAGGATCACTAAATTAGGCAACTCAGCTGTGAATTATAATCACATTTTTTAATTAAACCAACTCGCGTCTAGTTACTGACTTCGAAAAATGTTTTGCAAATTTTGTAAACTACTTTTTAAAAAAATCAGCTTATTTGGCGTAAGTAGGACAAATTACCAGCAATTATCGGGTTATTTGATATAGTGTGCAAACGTGCTATTTGACGTAGGACCTGTCTGAAATCAGCTTAGTACAAAATTAATGTACGCTCGCGAAATTCCTGCTTAAAAAGAGACAAAATAGTAAAAAAGTGTGAACATGGGAACAAAAGTTGTACCTATTTCATAAACCTGTGTTCTACTATGCCATTGGCTTATAAATACCGAAATTGTATAGATTCCCTGGGTCTAATATCGAGCATGGATCCAAAATCACCTTAACTTTCTCTTCGTCCTGACAATTTAAGACCATCTGGATGATTCTGCAGCCCTCGAAACAAAGGAGAGTCAAAATGTCCAGCGCTATTTTTAATCATAACGATTGAATAAACCACGTTATATTTTCTACGAATTCGCATGAGGTTGTGGTGGGTCAATCGGAGACCGTAGATTCCAAAGTTTCCGAATCAGGCTCTTTTGGGTGACCCAAGTTTGACCCATTTTCAAACCAAAATCCCCACTTTTCAAATGGGGAAGCCACCCCCTGTAACTCCTTACACTTGAAGTAGATTTTTTTGAATTTTCGGCTTTTGTATCTTCATGCAAATCATGAATTTAAACATGGCTTTCTTGATCTTTCAATGGAATAAGCATAGATACGAATATGGCTGAGTATTAAGAAAAAACAAAGAGAACCGTCGTTAAGGGCCACGTGAATCAGATAATGTGACATCAGGAATCATAAGTAGCGGAAAGTTGTTTTAATAAATACGATCTGGAATATATATGATCATTGGCAGGAAGTTGACATAACCACATCATTTTCTCAATTTAGAAACATGCTAAGAATAAATTTGCACGAATTAAGCAGTAAAGTCAGAACACTGACTTATTGTTTCGCTATTAACGCCAAAATATTTTTGCAACAAGGGGTGCCTTCTCGTGATCTGATTTTTTTCAAAACTAACGTTTATGACCACGTCAATTAAAACAAACTTCAAGGAGAAAACGCGGTGTGACGCATACTTCTGCATGTTCACGAAGTTCGGCCAATTTATTTCTTTACATGCTTCATCAAGTGGCAGCTACCATGCTATTCTTACATGACACTATAGGCCTCGATGAATCTCACACTTATTAGACTGTTTCCAAACTAGCAAAAACCACTCTATTGCCTCTAAGTAAGGTACAGGAAAATGTCAGTAGGCAAATGAACCAGACTTACGAAATCAGGGACAGCTGACAGTGATCAGGCAAAACATTCATGTGAAGTTTACATTTCTCGAGAATTAGGCTTGATGATTTTGCATTGCAGTATTTTGCTTAAAATATAAATATAATTTGAATCAAAGCAGGCTAGGTCAAATTTCGAAAAGACCGGTGTTAGTTGGAGGACCAGAAACATAAACAAGACAAGATAACGCGCCGTTGCGGATGCGTTGCTAATTGTGAAACGCCAGTCCTGAGTATTTAAAATTCGAATTTCATCAGTGTGGCTGTGTGAAAATACCGAGTACAAATTGTTAAGCTCACTTGAGCTTTAGCATTGGGGATTTTCTAAAAAAAACATGAAAGACACTGGTGGTAGGATTTTAAATGTCCGAGGCATGTTATGTTAATAAAAAAGTTAATTCGAAAAAAATTTCAATTTGACTAAAAACACCCTAAAAACTAGTCAGTTATTAAATAGAAATATATTACTGCAATGCAGACAAAGTATAACTGAATATGCATTCGTAAATGCAATGAATTTTGAAAAAGGCGAAGGCCTGGCATAGGAATTTTAGTTGTTTGTGGCCTGCAGACGACACATCCTTCCAATTTGACTAATACATGTAGCAATGACTTAGTAATGTTCTCAGCGCTATTTTAAGCAAAAATTATGCAAATATAAGGGATATACTAACTAAAAATCTATCAAAATCTTTATATGATTGTTTTATCACGAAAGAAAAATAGGAAAACAAGTGTGTCGCGAATTTGTGCAGATCAGTTAACATCTAAGAGTAGCGACCAAAAATAGAGGAATCAGGCATACTTTCGAGAAACATGCTGGACCAATTAGCGAAATACCTTGATTATCAACCGATTTTATTTAAAGAATAAAAATGATCATTTTAGTTGAGATGGTGTAGTGGTTGCTAAAAGTAATCAAACTCACACCACGATCAAAGGCCTTTAAAGAGGGTGATGTAAAAAAACGAAAACTATTTTCTTTCATCTTGGCTGAAAGAAAAAAAATATTACTGGGAGTCCTAAATACTTTAAATTGCTGTAGAATTTGAAAAAAAACTAGTTGGTGACTAATGACTAAAGTTTAAAAAAACTTGCATGTTTTTGTATTTCTGGTAAATTGAATGTCTTAGCAAAAGTAAGTGATTGCAAAGTGTTTTTTTGTTCCTAAGATTGACATCATTCTAATGCCAATTACTTTTAAAAAATCAAAATCCGACCTGAATATTTATGTGTAATTGCAAGACAGAATGAACTGAGAAGTAGAGACATTCATTGACTCATTTGAAACAAATCTCCATGAGCAATTACCAGAATAGATTCAGTCGAGTGACATTTGTTTCTATTTAATATATGAGCCTTAAGCATTCGAATATAAACCCTATAAGTAGACAGTTTTTATGTAGGCGTTGACAAGAATAAGTTGTTGAAAAAAAACTAAATTGTATCAGTCAGTTCTGCAGATCTAAGCATAAGTTTGCACTAGTGAAAAGCAAAATATCGTCGTGGAAAACATGGCATTTCGACTGACAGCCTGTGTTCACAAGGCCTACTCGGATAATTCATCGAATAGAACTGGTAGACCTTAGGAAGCACCAATTTAAAATAAATAATCTGCTCTTTCAAACATAAACTTTTCATTATAACTGGAGAAGGGGAAAAATATAATGACTGGTTTTGAACATTGCGATTTACAATGCAGCAGTCTTAGTGTCCAGAGGTCATTTCATTTTGGGGCCGTCAGATACTAATGTATACTTATTACTCATTAATGTACGAAAAAAAGATCTGCTAAATTTAGCCATACTGTGAAAACTATGTGTGTGCATTACACAAGTTGCAATAATGTGTGCATGAATCCTTATTACAAACATAAACAGGACTGGATATCAGTGTAATTTTTTATCTGCATTTATACTCATTAAGAAGTAAGTAGCAAAGAGGAAAAAAATTGCATGATCAATAAGTTCTCTCAAAGTGATCGAAAATAAATATGAATATTTAAATAATCCAAAGATTAGAAGGCAAAATTGTGCATTATTAGTTTACCTGCTTCTAAAGTACTGTTATTCGTCCGAGAGAAAAGTACAATTTTTTCATGAAAATTACTCAATATTCTATGACTGGCTGCCAAGAGACAGCAACACATATCAGCAAATTATATTGGCCTAAATATAAATGCGATTTGCAGAATTGAATTTTGTTAATAGATACAAAAATTTAATGGACCATGTAGTGAATTGGCACCAAACAAAAGAGGTCAGTGCATGAGTAAGAGTCTATTCAACAGCCAAATTTTCATGCCAACAATAAAAACAGTTTATATTTACAACTTTTGATATTGTAAAAAAGAGACATAAGGTCTGTAAAGAGAAAATATATATGAATTTGTTATTTACAAAAAGGGATTTTGGATATATTAAGCTTATTTGAAAGTAAACATAATGAACTTAAACATTTTAATCAGTAAAAATTATGTAGAAAAGTTTTAGCTGTGCCTTTACTAACCTTTGCAAAACACCTTTTCCTTTTGTTGTACCGCATCGATAATAGGCCGCTATTTTCAAGCTTCTGATTCTGTAAAATCCAAGTTTCTGGTTGGTCCTTTCCTTGTTTTCGTGGACGGTCGAGTTGACAAAAATTTTGGCTTGACATGGACGGCTCCATCTCTTCAGCGGAAGTTCGTGCTCGTCGGCGTAAACTGCACACAGAAGCTGAACAGAGGAGGCGCGATGCAATCAAGGTTTGATCACTTTTTTGATTGTTGTATGTTTAGAGGGGCTTCGATAGCTTGTTGGAACTGATTCCTCCAGTTAAGTCTGGCACGGGAAATTCAGTTTTTAGAATGAGCAAGGCTACCATCTTAAATAGATGTATAGACTTTTGCGTATTAATTTCCTTTTAGCAATATCAATGATTTTAAAAGCTTCGAAACTTCAAACTCAAAAGGAGTTGGAAATCGAAACACTGAGAAAGAAGGTCCAGGCACTTCAGATTCTCAAAGCGTTAGATTCCGTTTGAATTTTTCCTAAATTATTTTTTTGTAGAAGCTACGAACGGATGTCAAGTACGTGTTCGTATGCCACGGAGGCACAAGGCTCGGTTATCACTGAGCAGTTTAAGTTACAGCTTTTCCAAATGTTTATGGAAAACCTTTTTCAATCATTTGATTCTTTTGTCTCCCAATCCGCTCTTCCGGAACTCTCGGAACAAATTATCACTTGGCTTGAAAGCATTTGTAAGCCTGAGGTATGGGGTTTTTCTCAGATGCCTTATTTTCCTTTACTTGTAATCATGGGTTGGAATAACTTTTTTGTTTTAGTTTTTGCATCGAACTATGGAGCATTTACTTGAATCAGCATTGCATGATGGCTATGCCTTAACTAATCACCAACAACAACAACAACCTAGTCCGATGTTTGAACTTCCTCACGAGCCAGATCCTTCACGTCAATCCATTCAGCCGCAAGAACGAATTCTGAACACATATCGTCGTCAGTCTCTTGAACTATCTGGTAGCCGAGAGACAGTCCACGAGCCCTCGTTCCCCGTATCGGACACTCTTCATCAAGAACAGGGAACGATGTATGCCGACGAAAGATATCACCAGCAGAGCTGTCAGCACATGTTCAACAATGTGTACGACCCACGCACCGTCTTCTCAGAAACTGAGCAAAACTTCGCGCGGCCTGTGCCACCCCCACCACCTTCCCTATTTCCGACGCGTCAGTATCAATCTTCGGAGGACTCCATCAACTCTGCCCCAGGTGCCAGTCTTTCGGACAAATACCCTGCTGCTCAGCACCATTCCTCACCGACCTCATCAGTCTTTCAGCGAGCTCCATCAAGTGGAACTAGTCGGAGTCTGGTAGTTAACAGCACCTTGCCAGCGCCCCAGTTCACACCGGTGCCAAATTTTGTGGCGTCAGAAGCTGGTTTCTCCAGACCCCTTCCACCACCACCACCACCACCGCCACCACCACTCAATTATGGCGGACGGCTCCCACAGCACAACAGACCGTATACCAAGAAGAGTCCATTCTGACGCATGGTGCTCGTACAGAAGTAGCTTCACTTCACCTAACCATGACCAATTTGTGATAGGTTCCCACACCACGTATATTTATCTTCTCGTTTCATTCTGACCTCGCTACTATCTGCGCTCGTGTTGTTAACGCTGCTCTTGCATTGGCCTAATCCCTTTTATATCCTATTATAAATATCGGTCTCGGCTTATCAAATTTTATTAATTTAAAATCCCCTAATCAATCACGATTGTACATACAGCATAAAAGGATTAAGCACCAATGCTGTTGCGTCTTATTTACCTGTAGTTTAGTCTTTGAAGTACTTAACCTGTGGATTTGTATAATCCACTCAGTTTTATGCGTCTCTGAAGTGAACCTCTTTTTTGTTTATGTGTACTCAGTGTTATCGAATAGTGAAACGACACGCGAGGTAAAGTTATTGGAGCTATTGTATATCGCACTCACATAGCGTGCACTCACACTCACGCTGCAAAAGGCAATATTCTAACTGACGTGAAAGACCTGACAGTCGGCTTGGCAAATAGCGACCTCTTTCAGGTACAAGTATGGCGTTGGTTAGCAATTCTGTTCTGTTCTAAACCACACAACGAGATGCACCCTCCATTCACAACGCGTGTTTTGTACGCAATACTTGTGTCAGCCTAGTGGAGGCTTCAATTTGATGTGTGTAGCCTTTTCCTTCTCCTTAAAGCAATAGTAAACAGCATTTGGTAAGTTGTGCTTAGCACAGAACGTCGTTAGAGAGACAAGTTATCAGTTTCCCCTGAGCTGTGGTTGCGTCAACCGTGTGTAGACGCTGCCATAATCCGAGTTCAGAATCACTTGTTTCTCGTCATTCTCCTGTCATTCCCGCTCTCCCACACCCAAACCCTTTTAATTAAATAACTCGAAAGTTCTCCTGTATGGGTGTGAGTATGATCTAGGCAAGGACCAACTAACCACGCTAGTCTGCCTTTCTGGCTGTTGTTTGTGTGTTAAGTGCCTCTTTATCGATGTAACGGTCCTCGTTGTTTTTGAGTGAAATCAGCATGGATGATAGCGGTTTTCCTAGCGTGAGCCGTCGTGGAACATAAACTGCCTGATGCATGCCTTATCTACAACCAAACTGTCTATCTAATTATGTCACACTCAATGTTCATAAACGGGACAGTCAAGTTCAGTGAATTTAAACAAAAAAGCTTTTTTATTCAGCACAAAGTGTCCTCAATTTTTACATGACTGAGTGCTGTATCGAAGTGTCCTAGATCGCTACAGGCACATCACTGCATCGTCTCAATGTGTTTTGCTTCCGTCCTGTTTTTTTAGAACCTCAAGACTGCTTAAATAGCAACACTTAGAGCAGATTCACCGGTTCTGGCGCCCCACTATACACGACTGTGATTATCCAAACTGACCAATGAGGTGTCCGGGTGGGGCCGACGCTGAGCCATAAAGTGGTAACATATCGTCAGCGTAGACGCCTTTTACTGCTAAAGAGTAACTTGATTGGTCAATATTGGTCCTGCTAGAGGCAGCGTGTCCTAATTATACCTGGTTAAATGAACCTTAAATTAGTCTTTTGTGTGATGACCAGGAGCGCTAGAGGGCTTTGTTTCTAAAACCATTCAACTGGAGTGATTTGCCGACATCCTTGTCAAAACCGTCTTGTCATGTTCCATTGCAGCTAAAACCTTGGAATTTCTACTAATCGGCTTTGGTAGAACATCTGCAGCACAGGTTGCAAGGAAAGCCACGGAGGGTTTGTCGACTTTGGTCTTCTCACTCTCCATCGTAGGCTCCGACATATTCATAAGGCGCTGAAGACTTTGTCAACCCATTTTCATCGGAATTCGAGCAATAGCCGCTTTCGTAGGGTGAAGGCACTCACTTGTTCATGCCTTCCATAGCTCACACTATTCTGTTCTGAACACTCCACATCTATGGCAATTTAAGTTCTCTACGCATGGAAATGGCAGAAACAGAACAGTTCGTGCACACATTTCTTTTGCCACACCCCAGGGACCCTCAAGTGCACAGACCAGTGTTTTATTTGGTCAAAAATCAATACTGCAATCGATCAGTCAGTTTGAATTGTAATCATTTACCTGCACACTGGCAGGGCGTATTGCTGAATTCGTGAATCTAGACGGACATTGTGGCAGCATTCAACCTTGAACCTGTGGACCAATGCATGTGGATTGTGCGCCTGTGGCAATGCTTTAAACAGGTCACAAAATGGGTTCTGTGGTGCTACGCGGCGTAATAGCATGCCTTTTTTGGTATCTGTCGACTGCGCTAAAGTAAGCTCCTGCAACAGTGTAAGCACCACATTCCAGCTTGTTAAGTGCCACTATTTAATTTTTGTTATCATTTGAGTCTAATTTGGCGCCACATCTTTACGCCTTCTTCGAGACAAAGACAGTAGAAATTAACGACAGTCTAGTGACGAAAACCACACACACGTTGATCAAAGGTCTATCATTCTGCATCCTGTCTGGGAGTCTGAATGTAGCTGCACGCCGCCTCAGTTATTTATGTTTATTTTCGTTAGCACTTGGCGTCAGCAGAGGGCTCCTACCACACCTCCATAAACTGTCGGTTTAACGTGTGTGTGAGTGTAGGTCTAATCGAATCTGCCCTTATTAAACCCCACTTTTGCTTCATGCTTCATCATGTTAATGACTGCAGTGGAGATCAATCACGTTCTGATAGGTGAACCAAGTCCAAACGGAAGCAGGGTGAAGCAGTGGTCACGTGGTCTGTGTGTTTCACATCTCAAAATCTCGGTTAAGTGGGCCGTTCTTGCTGCGCGTAGATCACACTGCTCCCGTTCACGTGGCCTTGTCGCGTTCGCACACACACACACGCTCTCGCGACTGCAGACACACCCTTGCAGACTCCAGATAATCAAAACGAACGTCCTGCACACACACACACACAAGCGGACCGTGGTCGAGTGTGAACCACGTGATAGGCGTCACACCCAGTCCTACTGACATCGTCTACCTGTGGCAGATTAGACACAGCAGAATAAAGCCGTCTGGCTACCCGGCGTATTTGCGTGATTAACGGAAATCATGCTGTTGAATGACATCCAGCCAATGAGCTTTAAGCCAGGCCAGTAGTTAGACAGGTGTTTGTACTTACACGAAATGTAGACCGCTTAGCTATAACAAGCAAAGTCCATTGTTATGGGATGAACTTGCAAGGTTTGCTAACTAAGTTCATGGCATATGTTGTTGGCGGCGAGAAAGGTTTATTGTGTGCGAATCGGCGTAGGATGGTGTTGAGTGCACTAATTTGAAAAACCCCACGTGCAATAACCAATAGCAACGAGACTGGTCGACTTTATGAACTACTGAGACAGCTGGGTTTCAGTTCAAGGTCGATGGATTAAGAGCCGATTTGCTACCTGCATAGGTACGTGTTGACATCCACTAACACTGCGCGGGGATGTTCTTTGTTGTGATTTGATTACGAAGTTTGGCACTTTCTCTATACAGGTCCTTATCACATCTGGCATTTTCACAAATCCCAGGCTTTATGGAAACTGCTTGATGAAACAATGCCAAGTTCAGGACTGAATGATGACTTTGTCCGAAAAAAACACCACTTTTTCGTTTATTTGAGTGAAGTGTTATGTTTGAAGCTCGTTTATCCAGCTCGGTCGTATTTATGTATTCTGGATTGATGAAGGTGCATTGTTCCCCGGTACGTTGATGTTCCGACACACAACACCACGACTGAACCGGCCAATGTGGTAAACTGCAGCATCTCCATCGTGTTTGGTCTGCTTAACCTACTTGTTTGCTTGTGAAGTGATAAACTGAGCCCCAACAGAGGTCCACCTCGGGTTAGATTCGAGATCCTGGTGGGTTTGAGGTGTGGCGGAGTCTACAAATTGCACTTTTTCATCAGAGAATGATCCTGGCAATCGTCTGCCTTCAGTGGCCTGTTCTGCGATATCGACATGCAGGAAATTTTAATAGAAATGAAGTCAACTCAAAACAAGTTAAGCCCACCGTCCGTGGAGTTAGGACGCTTCGTTCCTGTGACACCCTGCTACACCAGCGATCATGATTCAGGCCTTGCCAGATGCGAGCTTAAAACCATCTCGTGAAGTATTTCCAAATTCAGATTGTTGAATAGTTCTAATACCCTTTATGTTATTTGCACTTGACAAGCACACAAGACAGCGGGCAGCAGTTTCAGTCAACGGTAGAGAGTCAATTCCAGTTGCCCGATAGGGAATCTGTCATGGCGACTCAATGCTCTTTATATCACCTGTTCCAACCAATCGGCACTCCAGCAATGCATTAACTGGGATGTTCCTGCACCAATCATATGCTGAGCAGTCGATATTGAGACATCTCACCTGTTCACGTGTTTTTTTAAGGTTGTTTATTGGTATGATTCCCTGGAAAACTAGGGAAACAATTCACAAATCAGTGTATCAAGTGATTTACCTGACTGACAGTTGGATGAAGCGTTTTAGACATAATCGCGATGCCGGTTTTGCTGATGATTCAACGACAGACTCGTTCTACAAAATTTCAATGATTTTGATTGAATTCCTGCCCCGTGTGTGCATTAAAATGAGTGAACATCTCAATCTCACAACCCTTTATTTAGATTAATCATCGCACTGACGTACATATCATTGCTAAGTAGGTTTCTGTACTGGTCTAAAACGTAAATCAATTCAGGCACGGTGAATTTCCTTCCATCGTACAATGCCACACTCCTATCACTGTTTTCGTGAAGTCGCTACAAATAACACCACATCCAAAATTGTTTTTGAATTTTGATCCGGATCATCGGCACGAGGGATTTGCGTCAGTTGTGTAATACCACAACTTTCCAAGGTTCGTTAACGCACTGTTATCGAACCGGTGGTTAAGTAGCACTTCAATCGCTGTTTTCGCGAAGTTATCAAGATCCTCACAATTTCATTCGCTCATCCAAAGCGACTTGATTTTAGCGCGAAATTGTCGATTTTTTCCGCAATTTTTACGAAATGCTGAAAGTAGTAACACTTTTAACAGCGGACTGTCACGCGAACACCTGTTACCGCATGTTTAATGTCGCGCTTTAGTCACGTGCGCGGGACAAAGTTAAAAAAAGAAGAAACGGTCAGCTAAATTGAAAGTGTGTTTTTAACGAATCTAACAAGCCCTCTGTTTGTGTCGCATGTGTGGGCGCTGCATGCAATATCAGCGCACAGAAGTGTCGCGAGCCTGGTAGCAGTGGTTTCGGCTGCAAATAACGCAGCCTCATGTGGGTTTGTTCGAAGCACTTTCACAAGCCAGTGACCTGAAGGTAATCTAGAAATATTCTAACTACGACGAGATCCCTCTCTACATATTCACCTACACTTCACCTTTACTATCAACTCAATCATAGGGCAGGCAGTTTTTTTAAAACAAACGTGTCATTTTCACTGAAATTGAAGGAGATATTTATAGTCTAGCTCTAGATGCATTTATCTGCTGCATAAACCAAGAGTCAAAGCCTCATTACAGAAAGGTTTTGCAGTACATGGTGTGGCCCTGAGGGCCAATCAAATCAAGAGAGTGCACAAAGTCGGAGTGAGCCAATGAGGTTTGTGCGCGGTCAATTTGAAAATTTTTGCAATGGTGTGCATAGCAAGGTAATAAATTGGAAACGTGCAAAAAATAGTTGCTAGTTTCCTCCAAAATTCTTCCATTTTCAGGGTTCTTATTTACTGCAAAGTGTACACAAGTCTTAAGTGATGCGCCATAATGTAATACTTTGGATTGAAACCAAAATCGCTTCCTAATTTATGAGACTACTCGTGTATCTGTTGATTTTATATATAAATTAAACACTTCCTGGTCATCGTGGTCCTAGTGGACAAAATAAAATTCAGGCCTAATAAAATTAGCCCAAAGTTGATGCATAAATATCAAAAACCAGATCTTTGTAAGAATTCTCCCACGTTTATTACCATTCGTTGTTAATAAAATAGAATTAAACATTTCTACTTATACTTCAATAAGCAGGCTTTTTGTTATTAATTTGGCAGTGCTGAGGGGCCCATTTTGACATTTGTCTCATTGTTCGAATTGCCCGATCAAAAGCACCTGGCTACTGGCGACTTATCACCTCTTCTAAAGGAACTTTATGAGGAACAAAGAATGGAAGAAGATGGTCTCAATTCCGACAAACTGACTACATCTCGTCAAATGCTCGTGAACATGCATCGATTCCTGGAGAAGTTCATGCGACCTCGTAAGGCAGAAGTCTGGGAGGCAATAATGGCAAGATGCGGCAACAACGTGTTGAAGCCGGAATTCGTCCGGATATCCTGGGTAATGTTTTGGAACGCAATCCGCAAGGTCGATATTCAGCAGGACTGGAATGAGTGGAATCCGTTCTGGTTGCCTGGTGTACCTTCGCCATTTAAAAGCAACTCGTGAGTCACTGTGGCACATTAATGGAATTTAAACCTTCAATTGATGAACACTTTCCCGCATAATCATTTCAAGAAATAAACACTACTGATATAAATAGAGCAGTACTTTGCGTTTACGTTACCAAATGTAGGTGTAGTTTGCTAGGTCGAAATCTGATATCTTCCATTTTAGCACCGACATGGACATAGAAGTCCCGGACTTTGTCTGGAATTCGACAGTCTACGTAAATCAGACAGAAACCCACTTCCTACGAGACTGGCATGCGCTAGTGGTGTTTAATTTGTTCTTTTGTGAACACCCCCACTTTGGACACACCTATTTATGTCCGGATAGCTGCTTCGGCAGGCGGAAACCGAATCAGCCACGGAAAGAGATAGGAAATCCGTGCGCTGGGGTGAAGGACACTCGAACATCTGCCTGCACCTCGGTAATAACATGCCTGAAGTCGGGGTCTTCCCATATTGAAATAAACGGACTTCAATATGCTACTGACGTTCGTTTTAGCAGTATTAATTAAATCAAAATATCTCAACAGGTGACGCTTCTTCCACGTGAAGTTTATTTAAGAAAATCGATTGGTTTCGTGTTCGCTCGTGATTGGCAGTTATGTGTTTACGCGCAGATCGCCACAAGGAAATCGTCCAATCCGGCAAAACAAACACGTTATAATCAAGTGGCAGATTAAAAAAAACAAATGTGAGCACTGTTTTTAAAAAAAAATTAAATTATTTTTAATTTTATTGTGATTCAAGAAACCCGAGGCTTGGTCCGGAGCCCTCGCGCGAATGTGGTGGCAGCTGGAGAATCCAACAGAAGCGCTGACTCGCGATCTCACGAGGGGCAGTTTTTCGTGGATCGTGGAGAATCGTGGCTGCTACGCGTGCGACTGCGACGACGGCTACGGCTGGAATGACGAGGAGTTATTCTGTGACAAGGACTTAGGCAAGCAGAAGTACTGCGATCCGGTCACGCTGAAGCCCTGCTTGCTACCGGGAGCCAAGTCCTGCAGGATTAACGAGTAAGGCCTTCTGTGCAGTTATTTAAATACCTGTAACAACATTTGAGGTTTATCCAAGCACCACGACCCGATTCACGGAGCTTCCTTTCAACTGACTTCTCATTGGCTCACCAAATCACGTGATCCACGAAATCGTTTTGCAGAAACACAAGAATAGATTATAATCTGTTGCCCCTTCATCATCCTCTAGGCCCCAACACCAATCCAGGTTGGTAAAAATTGACGTAATTCGCCACCGATCTTTGCAGTTGTGAAGCCTACCGAAGATACAAAACGGCTTATTTGAAAGTTTTACTTGAAAGGCATTGAGTAGACATTGATTCGACTCCTAGACGCCAGGTGTTATAAACAAAATCCACTTCCCACCATTCACGGACTCATAAAACTGATAAAAATCTTGACAGCCATAAAACTAGAATGTAGGCTAGCCTAGTAATCTAAGAGAACAAATGCCAATTGGAAAATAGTGCCCTGTAATTGGCACCCAACGTCGCTTCTACGGTATCCAGGTGGCATTAAGTCGTAATTGCTTAAAAAATCCGCCATTTTAGTGTCACTGGAGAAGCGATTTGCACCTGCCACCCGCAGTACACGGGAAACTTTTGCGAAAAACTGCGAGACCCCTGTTATGAACCCGAAATCAATGTGACGCTGAGCGATGGAAAACGGCTCCAGTACGTATTATGCCATATTTGGCTAACTGACGTTACTCCGCATTTAAAAATTCATTGGTAGAATTTAGAAGGAAGTCTAGATTGACTGAATTAATGCCAGTTGAAGTTAAAACTGTTTGTCTGGCTCTAATCTAGTGAGTTTTGGTGCGCCAATTCATGCGTTAGGGTTAAATTCTAGTTGTTAAGAGTGCTTATTTGAGACATTCAGGGGCTCGTGTTGATGTTAACACACTACCAGGCTTGTGAGTGGACAGGACATGTGCCAGATCGACATGGCAGGACACCCCTCCCTGCCCGAATACAAGGAGGTCTCAGCGGAGAGCAACGCCACAGGAGTTCCGTCCATAGACCTCATTCCACTGCCTCGCCACTCCAAGTGTTTCGGCAAACCCGGCTCCGACGAGTACTTCTGCCGATGCGAGGCACCGTTCGTGGAGGACGTCAGTCTAGACAGTCCCAACTGCCTCCTCCAAGTGGGCTCGTGTGACTCCAAGCTGTGCCTTCACGGCACCTGCGTGACCACCGCCAACCAACGCGGCAAAGCCCTTTGCATGTGCTACCCGGGCTTTGATGGACCCCACTGCGATCACCGAGCAAGTGCAGTTTGTTTGAATGAGCCCCGGCCAAGTTCAGTTTTGGCGCTAAAAGTGTCCCAATTTAAACAAACCAAGTAAATTCGAATTAATCCAGTGCAAGCAATAGACAGCCAGTGGATGAATCGATTTCATGACGGCCAAGAGTAATTAAAAAGTACACAAGTAACTTGTCCAAATAACATGGTGCTGTACAGGCTTCCAAAATAGGCATCGTCAATATTCCATGAAGATTTGCAAAGTATTTTCATGTGAAATTGGCGAAGTTGGCAACAATTTTGACTCAGTTTTTCCAAAAAAGCGGTTGATTTGTTATGTACTTCGTGTTAATAACTGCAGCCTAAACACTAACAGACACGCATGCTGTAGTTGAAAGATAACAAGGTCACTCCGGTACTGTAAATCTTTTATGCAACTTAACCTAAACAGTTATCAGAGTAAATGCAAACAACAAAGAGAGAAATTCGGACGTTTTAATGCTGCAAGCGCTGTTTCAAGGACACACATGTGATGCCGATGATGTAGGTTGAAGAGTGGACTGTTTGGTCATCCTGCAAACCAGCCTGTGGACGACGTCGCAGGCGCACACGAACGCGCGTCGTTCTACCTCAGGAGGAGAATCATCCAATGGACACCATTCGACAGGTGCGTTAGACCATGTTGGGTATTCCAACGGGAAAAGTGTACCCATCCTTAGTTTATTTAAACAAAGAAGGCTTTTCTGGCGAACGCTGGAATAGTGTTAGATTTTCACCGGAACCAGTCATGCTGGAGCCAGACCGATGCGCAATCGCTGATCCTTGTTTCCATAGATTGAGGTCTGTCCACCAAGACTGGGTAACGACTGTGCGGCGCCAGGCGTGCAACGCAAAACCTACACCGACGCCAACGCCGAAGAAGACCCCACTACCTTTGAGGACTACTTCATTACAGCCAATCCAGAAATGCTGAAGCTCCAAGCGCTTGTCGCGGCCACGGCCGTCTTGATCATACTTTTCATTCAGATCCTTCGATCAATAACCTTTATGCTTGTACTCTAAGTACTAATAAAAGCAATGCAAAAATGTGTAGCAAATATTGGCATTCAAGCTGACACAATTAATTCAGGGCCTGTTTTGATGTAACGTCATTTAAGATGTTGAGTGTCTGATGTCTGAGACGAAGTTGATCTGGGGTAAGGCGCATTGATCGAAAAATAATAGGGACATACATACTCAACCGCTAAGCGAAGCTACAGGAATGACTGTTGACTCATTCGTCACCTTCTTCTTGTCAAACAATGCAACAAATTTTATTATAACGTTGCACAACAAATTGAAGTTATGAACGTAAGAAATTCCAAAAGCTTAACTTAAATGCTAAGTGCCTTTTGGGGAATGAGTTTGGTAATAAACAAAAAATTATAGAATATAATTTGGACTGAGGTTTAAGAGACAGCTGGGTGGTGTGTATGGTCTGAATTTGTGAGTGATTAAATACTAGAAACGCTGCTTACTAAGACGGCCAATAGCCAATCAGCACTAACAGTGTTTACGTTGGAACTGTCGACAGACGTAAGACCACAAGGACGCCAATACCAGCATCGTTTTGCTAGGCAGAAGCGCGTAGAAGGTGCTCATCTCAATCGCCTCATAAAATAAACGAGAAATGCTGCCATTTTACTAAATCTGCCCAACTCTAGGCTTCTCACCTCGTTAGCCTGACCTCGCACTGTCATTACGCACATAAGTGCGTTGCTCGCTCAAAACGAGGATTTTAAGGCGAATGGGAAAAATTAGCGCGCAGCCATTGGTCAGAGCAGGTAGCAGCTGTCTGCCGCAACGCCACCCCGCATTGGTCCGAAGTGATGGTCGATGGGTAGGGCGAATTTACGCTGGTAGAATGCTCTGGCCGACTCATTTGTACACTACACTCGAGCGGATGACGTAACCTAGTTGGTTGGCTCTCTCAGTGTCAAATAAACCAGAGAGACATCCACAATGACAACCTCGGCATGTCTTCTGCTTCTGGCCGTGTGTAGCAGCATGTTTGAACCCCTGGCAGGCCATTCGACGGCTGTACTGGAGAGAACGTAAGCAAGTTGAAATTGGTCCACGTTTAACCTACCTCCGCTGAGTTGTTTGGGAATGAAAACCAGCCCAATTTTTTTTCCAAATTCTAGGGTGGCTAGATGGTCCCAGCACCTCTACCAATCGATCAGTTCACTTCGTGAAGTCATAGGCACAGAGCAGCTTAATAAGGTATGGTTTGTAACGTTATCGTGTGTAAATAATCTCACTGAGTCCATTTAATTAAGCGTTTTTTCTGTCTCAGATGTACAAAAACAGCTCGTTCGGTGTTCAAGAGATGACGGACTCGTACGCCAGAGGACTACTCGATGAGGCCATAGTGGAATTGACCCAAATTATTCGCAAAAAAGAAAAAGCTCTTGAGGTAGACAAGTCTGGCCTAAATGTCCCTACATAACAGTTCAGCTTCTTGCTTGCCTGTGCGCTAGATAGTTATAACTTATGACCGGATGGTTACTAGCTTTCACAATTTGACCTTCCACTGTCATTGAGAGCATGGTAGTCGATGCGCGCACCGGCACTGCAAGGATGGGTAGCCTATTGGGTAAAATTGGGCCAATTGTGTGAAGGCCAGTGCTTCTTTTTCTAGAAGCTACGCGATAACATTGAAGAGGAATACAAGAAGCAGGATCCGCTTGAATACGATGAGGTATGTTGGAGTCATTTACATCTCACTTGCTTTAATATACCCACACACTTGATCTTTGAGAATACCAAAGCACACTTAGTTACCAGGAAAGGGATTAGCGACATATTTTTTTAACCTGTCTTACCTAGTGCTACATTCGTGCCAAAGCAGTCAGCCTCTTCCCATATCCAACAGACGAGAACGGAACAAACGCGGTCCCATGCAACGAATCCCAGTATCTTCCAATGGAAGCGGATTCCATGTTCGGTCACTACTATGTTAGCCGAAACATCTCAGCGGCGCACATTCCTACCAACGTCTACGATCTCTGTTAGTCTGTGTTACTAAATCCTTTGTCTAGCGCTAGATGTTATGCCAAGAAATATATAAACAGATGTCAAGTTAAGAAAGATTCTCGCGGCTTGGAAAACATTGGTTTAAGTTTTTTCTTGATATTGCTGCCCAATTGAACAGCCCTGAATTCGGATGATGTCAAGGCGCACTGTTCGTGAGCTTGCTGTAATTCTTCTAGTCCATCTCACTTGCGAGTGTGACACTAAAACTACTTGTTACGTTTGCCCGTAACAATAGAGAATACCACTCAAATAACGGTACCAGATCCCTAGCTGAAGCTAGAACCGACCTTCCCAGGCTAATATGGGAACAAGACCAGAGCTCGTATTCACGTCAGCCACGTGCAAGGTGCAGTATCGAAAACGAAACTACTTCAAGTCAGGGTTGACCTTGACTTGATAAAAAGCGTAGCAAAACAAATGTTGGTGAATAAATGTAAATAGCATCAGAAAGCAATCTTGGGGAATCGTGGATCCCCAACACTTCTGACTTTAGAGACGGTTTGTACAGCATGTTGGAATGACCTGTAAGATGTTTTAACATCTCACAAACCTTCAATTAACAAACTGACTTTTTTCTCATAACCTCTGTTGCACTTCAGCGAAAGAAATTCGAACGGTTGGGAACTGGACCCATCACTTAGACGACGTGTTTAAAGAAAATATTCAGCAGGATCCTCTGTTGAAATGGCAGTACTTCTGCAGTTCAACCGGGTACTTCAAATTCTACCCAGGTCAGTCATTCAAGTCAGTTCATTTGGTTGACAGAAAGGGCATTTAAACTAATGAGCCTTCTCTCACACAGGTGCAATGTGGAAGGTACAGCTGGTGGACTTGAAACTGGACTTTTTCGACTGCCGTTCAACGGCCTGGTAAGTAGTTCTGAGCCTGTAGATTGTTTCATTAGCTAGTCGCCTCTCGACAAATGGTGAAGGCTTGCCTAAGTCAATTATGCTTGGACGTGGATCGTGGACAAATTCACTGTCGACTGTTTTGCACAGGGGATTCACGTCGAAACTTGAATTTTTGCCCTAAAGGTACGTTGGTGCCGCCTCGTATCCAATCGAAATGATCATTCTGGCCGATAAGAGCGGAAGTATGAAGGGTCGACGGAACACCATCTGTAATGCAACCATCTCAGAGCTGCTCAACACCCTCACCGACGATGACTTCTTTAATGTGATCTACGTACGTGAATTGCATTCAAATTTACGCCAATGCGTCTTAGAGAACCGAGGTATACTGAAATCCCTTTGTGGAATCGTCAGTGAATGCAAAATTCTTCAACTTCGGACAAGTTTATTTGCACAGGAGGTTACAAAAACCGGCGTTTTAAAGTCTAAAGATTACATAGAAAAAAAAGTTCTTTTGAAAATTATCATCAAATTCTGTCAAAATTTACGCCATTTTGTGAATTCATTGTCTTAACACATATCATTTATCGTGCTTTAGTTTTCTGAATCAATAAAGTTTGCTGAAGAATACGTGACAGATCGCCTGATTCAAGCCACCACACCCAATAAAGATGTGAGTTAAATTCGTAATTAAAAGCGGCGCCATCACAAAGCCTGATGTGATTGGTTGAAGGGTGCTTGAGTGTGTTTTGTTAATTTTAGCGAATCGTCCGTGGATTCGCCGACCACATGCCAAATGGAACGTCAAACTTCAGGGCAGCATTAACCGCGGCCTTTTCACTCCTCAATATTGTAAGCAAACACGTCTGTGAGCATTTAAGTATACCCAAAACATCGATGGGTTGACAGTCTGCTTTTTTATAGTCAAGAAATGGAACTGGAATAAATCGTTGTAATAAAATGATAATGCTCATTACCGATGGAATTCCGGACAGCTTTGAAGACTTGTTTAAGGAATATAATCCCGAGGTGAGTTGCTGATTCCTGCAAAATTAACCAATCAGATTTGTCCAGCGCTCCTGACCAATAGGCTGCTGTATTCAAAATAGACGTAAAATCGTAATTTTATCCCCATTGGATCCTAATTTAAGTGCGATCCTAACAAAGTCTAACATTAAAAAAGGATTGTGACATGGCAAGGTTTGAAATCAATCAAATCACCTTTAGGGAGAATTTCCTTTGTTCTGGTGCGCTCATCCACCAACAAAATCGCGATATTTGAAATTTATCTAAAAAAACTACTTAGTGCTACTGAATGATCAGCACTTGTGATCAATAACTCATGCCTCCGCATTCACTAGAATGGGAATTTTATTAATATGACATACTTTTTGTTTTAATAAGTAGTGTTTTCACTTGTATCAATATAGAAAAGTGTTCGGGTATTCACCTTTCTCATTGGACAACATTCCGCTGACGAAAACATTGTTCGAAAAATCACCTGTGCCAATCGTGGTAAGCTAAATATGCTACATATCCAACTCCTTCACTGCCAGTTCAAATCAATTCTCTTAAAACGCGTTAACCATACATTATCCACAAAAGGCCTCGTGAGTAGTGTCAAGCGACGTTTAAACACTCTTACTTGAATGAACGCGGTCGTGCAAAAAAGTACAGTAAGACCTAGGTACGGAAAAGTACCACATTTTACTTAAATTTGCATCCTTCTTGCAAGTTCCCTAGTGTAATAATATTTATTTCTACTTCTACTTTACTGATTTTGGCAATAATCAAAATCACGCGTACGGCGGATCAATACTCAAATCCCATTGGCTAAGGAGAGAAACAGGCTTTCGAGCTTGTGCCTCTTATTTCATTGTGCAGAATACCTAGGCGTTAGCATAAACAAAGCTCGTTGAACAGAACAAGCTTTGCCGACCAAACACAAGTTTGAACAGTCTGTCAGTCATCAAATCCAGCTGCGCCACCCATTATATCTGTGCTTCTCTCTTATTGGTCATTCCGACGCTCAAAGACGATTGGCTGAGTTTAGTGTGATCTAATATGTCTGCGCCCTTGTGTAGCACTGCAAAAGACCAAGGAAAGCCGATGTGCCTTGGGTGACCTTGACACAAAGGGAGATTAACACGAGTGCAAACCGCCAATACGGAGCCTTGGAATTGGTGGGGGGATTTGCAAGCATAGTACGAAATATTTTACAAAATAATTTGCTTGCTGAAGTTAAGTGAATATTGTAGCCGATGCGTTTTTGTCGGAAATTGTAGGCATGGATGCAAACATTGCCAATCTTGCCGACGTGAAGGAGAACGTACTGGTAAGCTAAGCACGCATACAAGGAGTGAAAACACTTTCCTTGTAGAAGTACCTCGATATTGTGGCCAGATCAAATGCCGTTTTGGACGACTCCTTCGTGCGTTGGAGTGGAGTGACCGAACTCCAGATCAATTTAATGGTTTGTTTTCATTGGCAGTGTTGGTTGCATTCGTTTTTGGAGATGTGATTTTTGCCACTCCCACTTCCCCGAGGTCAGAACAGAGCCGTGTGCTGACAAAATTGCTTAAATTCAGGAGGTTAAGACTACGATTTGTAGACACGGAGACGCGTCAGTACATTTGATTTCTCAATTCATTTGGGTGAGATATTCGCACACTGGGACAAAAGATTTACCTAGATATCTAAGGAGGTCCTAGACGCTAGGCGACACACCCAACCCCTCCGATTCAATAACTGTGTGAGGAAGCCTTGTTCCCACCCGTTACTTCCTTTTCAGGAACTCACTCCGGAAAACTTTACCCGTCCTCCTGAAGACGCCTTGGTAAGTACACTTGTTGTGTCGTGCTTTTGACTAATCATGAAACCAGCTTACATCAAATGTACAATTTGGTTGACTGGATGCTAATCTCGTAGAATGCAACGCTCCCAGAAAACAGAACCGTGGTTGAAGAAGGGATTCAAGAGGACTCACCGGAAGCAAGCGAGGAGACTCCAGTAAGTTATCTTGATCTACGGGATTTCGATTACAATTCATTTCGTCAAACTAGTAGAAAAGCAAGGATTTTGCCAATAACGATAATCTAAAAATCAAGAAGCAGATGATGGGAATTAAGCAGTATAGTTTGAAAAATAAATTTAAAATAAAACGTCAATCCTTCTGGTTCTTACTCAGTTACGTGTGAATGCACAAGTGTGCGCCAAATTTAATTGCTCCCCGAATGTTTCTGCAGCCTCTTGTGAAGTTTCACAAACCAAAGAACTCCCAATTCTTCATTACTCTGTCAAGAGCCGCATACGACAAAACCAACGCAACCGTGAGTCATGATTTCCAAAACCGTCTTTTCACAGATTCCGTGCATGCTTGAAGTCAGCCCTTGGACATTTTAGGTTGAAAATAATCTCGGAATTCTCCTGGGCGTTACCGGACTCGATATTCCCATGGAGGATCTGGAAGATGTTCTCAGAAGTTGGAAGGTAAGGATCTGGCTCCGAGGCCAAAGCCAGCTCTCTTGAACGCCATCTAATGCAATCACTTGCGCTGTTTTAGACTGGACCCCTCTCGTACTTCTTCGGCTTGAATAACAACGGATTCGTGCTATTCCACCCAAATTATCGTCCATTGGTAAGGCTCAGAAGGGGATTTTCACCAACTTTTGTTTAGCACGGCACCCAGTTAAAACGGTACTATAGAAATGTCGACATAGACGAGTTGGAACAGTCGCTTGGGTCTACACTTAATCCAGTAAGTAACAGACAAATTGTATGTCAGTTGTGAAAAGTGCTGACGCACAGATCAGGGTGGTTCCATCACCTTGTTTCCTATTTTAGCACACTGCGCTTCCAGTTTACAACTCTACGGTAAGACCTACACCGTCTAGACTCTTTGCAACGACACGAACTCTGAGTGTAATTCGACAGTATTTCTCGGTGTTTGTAGTTGAGAAAATTGCTGATTGATCGAGCCACCGCGTCGACAGTTGAAACAACACTGGAAACCCCGGAAGACTTTGTGAGTTTGGTTACACAAATCTGTTGGCATCACGTCACCTTGGGTGACTCAGAACACGATGATTGGATGGTGGCTTGAAACTAAATCCTCAGTGATTTTATATGGGTTGGACGATGATTGAAACGCTGCTTTTGTTATGGGATTTAAAGAACCTTTCATCATTTTGAGGTCACCAATTATTGTGGGCCCCAGCATTTGATCGAGAACCACCCTAGGCCATTAAATTAACCCTAGCCCGATTGGGCTTCCCTGATTCCCGCGATGAAGAAAAAGACAAGAGCTCAACCACGTTGGCGACGTTATGTCGTGTGCCTGGTTTGCGTGTGTACATTTATACCTCAGATGTGTGAGTCATACATGCGCCAACATCGAGACCTAGGTGTGAGGATAATCCAAGATAAATATCAATGTGAATGAGGGGGGAGTTGAGGATCCGCGTGGCTGGCGACATGCTGCGAAAAGGGGGACCCTGTGTCGGAGGGTGGAGCGACTGGATTGAGAAGTGTGTAAAAAAACGATCCACAGCACTTTTAAAGTGGCCTTGTGCAAGCATATAGAATCTAATAGGGGGTCAGAGGTGCACAGGGTTACCGGCAGGCCCTTAAAGTTGATTGGTCGATTCGACTTTCATAACACACCCTCTGAACATCATCCAACTTACGCATTAGCTAGTCAACAAACTAACGCAATAGCAAGCTGACATGTTCGTTGAATTTCTGTCTAGCTGTCGGGTTTGCCGTTGACAAAGAAAATTTACACGGCTCCTCTGCCAGAAACGCCGTTTGTGTTTGGTTTAGCTGTTCGATGGATGCCGAACACCAATCGCGGCGTCCCGATCCCTAAATACGACACTGGAGGATTTTGGCGTCAAGGTGGTGTGCGTGGTATGTTGTTACTCTATAAACTCCAAATCACTGACCGCATTACCCTTAACTACTATCAATTCTTGATCTTCAACGAAATGGCCAATCAGAGGCGTTTGGCAGCAGCCAATAGGAACATAATTTAACATTGTCTTAGTAGCGAATTGAGCTAGATGATCAATTCAGAATTACCAGTTGTAGAATCTCTGGTACGAGCCATGACTCCCAATGGGGCCTTCATTTGTTGAGGTGATGGAGACGCCACAGCCTATTAAAGGTTCAGATGTGGGACAGCAGTTTCCACCGTTTTATAGTCTTTCTGGGCATGAGCAAACGTTAATTCAATCGATAATCTTGAACGCGTAGCGATGTTTGTTTAAATAAACACAACAAGGTCGCTCACGTGTCGGTAGGAAGGCGAACATTGCAAGGAGGATTGCCAACCTTGTACGCAATTACGACAAGTATATATATTCTAACTTTTAAACGCTTTCCTCACCTCTATAGCTGCTGACACGAGGGTATTGAACCCTCAATTTATGGATCCAGCCAGGTCCTGTGACGTTGACGAGACCTTACCTTATGGCGCGAAGCTAGCCCCAGTGTAAGTTTGCTAAGTTCTACCAACGATGAACTTAAACTCATTGCAAGGCAACTATTCTACTGATAAAGTTGCCGCTTTAGTTATAATGAAGTGCAACCAATAGTTTGTCAACCTTTCAGGCGTTTCTGCAAGTTTCGACGCCAGCTCTTGGACGTATTCATTGACCAACCGCTGTGTGCCTTGAGGAATGTCGCAATCGACAAACAACTACGAGAAGAAAATGAATGTAGGATGTCATCTACTTTTTTTGATTTAAGTAGTACTTATTGCATACAAAAGATATCCAATCAGAAACTAGTCTCTTAGTAGCTGCGACAAAACACTTTTTTGATAGGCTCATAACCATTTTCAATACGAACCCACTGTTACTTGGAAAATGTAAGACAAAGTTAAAAGATACTTACTTACTTATACTAATTAAGTAACTGTTATATTTCTTCAGGTGACCTGGACCACATTGCTAGGATCGCCCTGGACTCGAGAGCGACGACAAAAATTTATGATTACTGGCGTCGAATGGGGAGCCACCAAACTACTAGAAGGTTTGTCAATCACACTGGAGTATCTCATTTTGCCCAATCAAATGCCTTTTTTTGTGTTTTGCGTGTTGTAGATTTGGCATTCAGCAGGTATTCAGTTTGCACCAATCAGGTCTGCTGCGTTACTACAACTTCTCACAACCAACATACAAGTAAGTCCAGATGACAAAAAACCTACAAGTTATCCTCCTCAGGTGTGATTTCCATTAAAAATAAATAACGATCTTTTTTTCAGCGAATTTCTGGATGAGATCAATATGGGCTCCGAAAGCGCACTCTACAAATCGGCAGTGCTTCACTCGACGTTCTACGAGAATATGAAAATGCTGGTGTTCAGGCCACCACCCAAGCAAAGTTAGTTGTAGTGCTTTGATTGGTCACTTTAAATGCAATTTGTAAAACCTAGTTGCACTGTAACAAAATGTGACTGAAAAAAAACCAGTTGTGCTAAATTAAATTCAACAAAATATTGATCTTTTATGAAGGCAACAATGTTGGAATAGATCCTCTCAAATATAATAGGCAGCTTTGAATTTGAATTGATCACTTTTCGATTCACGATGGCTGAAATTCCTTACAAACTATTGCAGGCAGTTTGCCACCTGCCTGGTCATCATGAACCACTAATGCAGTGCAAGGGAACCAATCGAAATCGATCTAACAGTTGATTGGTCTCTCACCTGGCAGGTGATTGGCCCGTGGTGTGTGTGATGTTTTGAGACTGTTGTAGCTTTACTCAGAAGGCGGTTTAATTGAAACTGAACATAGTCCAGTATATTGGCCTTTATGAGCGATTTAAGTGTATGACTCTTTGTCTAACTCAACAAGTGTCTGAATGTGAGTCAGATGCTCATTCGTACCTAGCCCTGGCTTCATGTGGTGAATTTTAAGCAAACAACCAATCAGATTTCTGTCTCCGCCATCTATCTCTTAAACCCCCTACTAGGACCGTGTGTCCATCCAAATGCCGTTTTCACACTCGACCAGAAAAACACTTGAAACTCGCAATCACTGAACAACACAACTTCGGAATTCGTGATGAGTTGCGAGACGGGATTGCATCAGGTCCACACAAACAGGGTCACTGAACTTTTGCAGTAGCTAGAGGTTTAGCGCCATCTTACAGCCCTTTAGTTTACAGCCCGTAACAACCCGGGAAAAGTGGAGCAAGAGGCGACAGAGGACACGACTGTTTATTAGCGTCACGCCAGCCAACTGTGCGTCTTAGTTTGTGGATGAGTGAACGGATGCCAGGCATCTGGCAACAGTAACCAATGAAACGGTGATGAGTCATTGTCACCGTCAGGTCGGTAAGCAGGGTTCACTCAGGCGCGACCGCTGTTAATCAGCTACACTTTTAACAATTACGTAAAACGCGAACTTAAACACCCCAAAACATGATTTATCATCTTTGAATCAAAAGTACAGATGTTCTCGATGTAAAAATTGCCCTGTTTTTCAGTCTTCAGAAACTTCCTCGAGGAAAATGTGTCGGTTCCCATGGCGGTTGTGTCCGTGATCAGCAATCCCGCGTCAGAAGCTGTTCCTATGGGGATCGCTGGTGCCCAAATCAACTACCGGAAGTTCCAGGAAGAGTTCTTCGACTTAGTAAATACCTGCAGCGAAGCCGGATGCCTCAAATGCAATGATTCTGGTGTCCAGTGTTTTCTAACGACCACCGCAGGACAAATAATCCTTTCTACTGCTGGCGAGAAAGCGGTAACCCTATTTCACAACCTCGTTTTGTGTGTGTCTGTGTGTGCATTGGGCGTAGTAACGCCTTCTAGCTTTGCCTGTAGGTCAGTCAGAACGTTAAGGAGATTGACTGTGCTCTGATGGAGGCTCTTGTTGACGCTGGAATTATAAGAGAGTACGCGGCCTTTTGTCATAAACACGAATATTTTGAGTCAATGCGCTAGCACCTGTGTTGCCTTTCTTTTAGACAAGAAGTGTATGACTTCCACGCCATTTGTATAGATGCTGTTACTCCTGACATGAATTTCGGTTCAAGGCTATTTTCGGTAAGTTGACAACATTATGGCATTGGAAGATGCAAGGATTATTTAAAGAAGAGGTCACCTTCCTGGTTGTCATGAGATAATAATGTAGTGAGAAGAGACCAATCACAATCGACCTTTCAATTGACTGGTCAGTCACTTTGTAGGTGATTGGCTCAGGAGTGGCTTGGTGTGCATTGAAATGTCTCCACCTTCACCCATTGACAACTGAGTAGAAATTCTTATTAATCGTATTCATCAATCTTTCCATGGAATTAATACAAACGTTTTCTCACCGTCATTACGTAGTTAAGAATTACTTTGTTGCAGGCGTTAATTACCCTAAGAGGATGGTTTCGTGATTGAGATCTTAACCAGTAATATTGAGTTATAATTTGTGTCTTGTTCATTTTAGCCGATCGCGTTCCTCTTCACGTTAATTGGCCGCGCCATGAAGGAATTTATCACGTGAGCTTGCAATGCAATTTTTGTTAGCTGTTTTTGGAGACTGAATTATCTCACACTTACGGCTAGGTTCTTAGCTGGAACGAAGGGACAGCGAAGTAATCTAATTGCGATAATACGGAGTTCCATCCCAAAACAATTAGATTTCCTAATTGTGCCATTCAAGCAGGAAAGACACCTGAGGACAAGGTTACATGCCTAAATCTTTCGGGTTTCCGAAATTCTGACGCAGTTTGGGAAAAGAGTGTGATTAGTACGCTCCAACCAATAAACACAGTGGAAGTGAGACAAAATTGGTACATTTATGATTTTCAAGGAGCAAGTTAACAACAATTTTCTCCTGTCCTGTTTCCGCCGACACCTGTTGAAATGAAAGTCAAAAAGAATTTTCATTCCTTTATAGTGCAGTGTCTACTTGGTGGCTTTTGGGATCAAGTGCTGCTGGCCAAGGTTTGTGTTAGAAGCGATGGTTTGTTTAGCTACCACTACTACTGCAAACTAACGCCAGTTTTGTTTGCGTCAGGTGCTTGGGACTCATTACCACCGTTGAGTACTTCAAAGACCACCCCCGAGAGCTCGCCCTTTGGATTTCACGACGGCGCTGATCAGTTTGTCTACCCACATCACGGGGAGGTTGATTTTAGTCTTCCTGGCGGTGCGCCGTCAATTGATGATCCGTTTTACCGTGACTACGAGGTGCTCAAGCCTTTCGAGTCTCCTCACATTCCACCCACTCCACCACCTACCAGTACACCGCCTCAAACGTCTGCCGCACCACCGACTTGCGATCAAACAGACCAAACACTCCCGGATCTACCTCTTTTCTTTGAAACTGCGCAATTCTATTCTCAGAAAAACTACATTTTTGAAGATCCTGACGATCCTTGGCTTATGCAGCAACAAGCTTTCGCGGAATTGGACATGTGTTACGCCAACGAGCCTACTTTAAATCCACCACCGCCACCACCTGTCTCCACCATAGCCATCAACGCCTCCACAAACGCGACGCTGGAAGTTATCGACATCACGAAAGCAATGACTACAGGTGAGCCGATCCAGCTGCTCTCGGGTAACATCACACTGGTGAATGCCACAATCGCGCGGAACACCACGGAGCCACAGACGTCTCCGCGCAAAATCAACACGGTGCCGGGGACCCTGTTGCGGTGTGTGCAGAGAATTGTGCAGATGCGCTGCCACGCCGCCGTACACAGCAACAGTCAGATTGGACGGCAGGCTTGTGAGGTGATGTGCGATGCAGTGCGTCAGAGGATGCCCAAGTTGACGGAGTTCCTGCACGACTGCAGGCAGGCGCTGGACTCCTGCACACAAAGACACAGCATTTTCTACCTCAACAAGGAGGCGCATGCTGGAAGCGTTCGTCAACCGTTGTATGGTTACGGCGACAGCAGCGTCAGTGGCAGACAGGCCAAGCTACATTCAGGGACCTATTGTCCGTCCTGTGGAAGTGTGTAAGTTGAAACGATGCTCTATCGGACAGAATTCCTTTGGACTCATTCACATCATTGCTCATTCCGCTTTCAAACATTCCGAATTTCATGGTTGATGAATCTTCAGACCACAACAATATCCTTTAGGTTGTAGGGAATCGCCATGGGAAATTTAAACATAAAGGCCTTTGTCCAACTGTTCAGCCGAACCATCTGATCCACTCAAGAGGAGATTATGAAAGATAGCTTAAGTTCCAAGGCTTTCGTGATGCTGATCAGCCAAAGTTAAGGACTTTCTACAAAGTGGCAGCAAAGAGAGCTTTAAGCCTGGCAGATGGCATTCGATCTAAATACCAAAATCTAACAACCTGATTTTTTAAAAAAAGTATGTTGGTGTATAAAGCTCAATAGCCAATCAAATCATTTGCTTTCTTTAGCGACTGGACCGTCAGTTCAATACCAAACACCAATCTTCTTCTCATAATGACAGCAAGACAACGTGGAAAGCCAACGATTAACTGCATTTGTGAATGCCGTCGACGCTACCGATACGGAGCCCAGTTGAAGAATATCCTTTTATAGACGTGTGACAACCAATCAAGGGTTTTGGTGTTGTTTCAGGGTGATGCTTTGCAAAGATAGTCCTAGCTCCTGCCCATTTTAGTTTACTCACTGCGAATCCGCCTTTGCTATTTCCTCTAATACAATTGAAACTCCACTAGTAGGCAAAACGCATAACGAGGTACAGATAAATTCCTGGCTGATGAAAGCATCTGCTTCACAAAACAAGGAAGAAAGTAATAACTTATAGAGAAAGCTTGAACAGTCGTGGCACGTCAAAATGCTCACATAGTTGTTTCTTTACTGACCATGATAACGGCATTCAAGGAGGTGTGAGCCAATAGGGTAGTAGCGGTCGATATGATCAATAATGTGCGTTGGCACAAAGTAATGTCTATTCAGGTGTCAGATCGCCCTATGTGTTTTTACCATGCCCCATCTCCCTAACTCAACAAACACGCGATAAATCGATTCCGAGGACCAGGACCTATCGACGTGACCCCGTGACACCGAGGAAATGTGAAATGATTCCTTATAAGGTAGGCCTTAAAGCAACTGCAGTAACCTTTGCTGCTTCCGAGTTGTCCAGCCTAACGCGTCCATTTCTCTTAGCTTGAGAATTTCACAAGCTGTTTGAGCGGAACTCAGTCGCACGCACCGGGTCCGGCATTGTGGTTGGTTGCCATGGCATCAGCTGTGCTGAGGCTCGTTTGAACTCCGTTTCAAACAATGCGACGTTTTCTTGATCGGGACCCAATGACTGCGACCTCATAAATGGACCTCTATACTCATCTGATTTTGTTACAACACCCGTTGATAAAGCACAAAACCATTTTGCGCCCTTGATTTCGCTTTTTTTATGATTGTCTGACGAGCTCTCTCTTGTAAGATGTCAACAAAGGGTGTAGATATGTGGAAAGATTTTTGGGTTAGGAAGTGAATTTGTACTGGAAAGCATCGAAGCTGTTGGTTGAGCTCACTACGTTTCTCGACTAAATCTCTCGATTAATGGTGATTAAATAGACTGAATTTCCTCAGAACTCTACTCATGTTTGTGCATGTCCTGATTTGCCATTCGCCCTGTACACTTTACGCGAATACCCCCACCTGCGTACAGGATTGGTTGCACACGTCTGTTCCACTCCAGCAAAATTTGACACAATTTCAATCAGCTGTGGCGCGTAGGAAACCAGACATTCACTTCACCATCCCGAATCACATCGCTTTTAAATTGTGCCACCCGTGAGTTTGCCGAATCGGATGCAAACCCGTCGGTTTTCGTATTAACACCAACTGACAAGCAATCTTTCAAACTGTTCAGCGTTTCAACATTGGAACAGAAATGACATGTTCTACACTCTGGATTAAGGTGGACATTCTCATTCCAAGTGCTGACTTAAATAAGCATCCTCTACTTTGACTTTTACAACCAACTTTTTAACAGACCAAAGTTAGACCCACTTAAATCTGCCAAGTCTGACTATTTGTGATTGAATTGTTGATTTGGATATCCCTTTAATTCCAATATCTGTCTAGTATCTGTTGCTCCACAAGTTTATGCCCACCCAAGCCACTGCAAAATTGAGAAAGGTGGAATGAAGACGCCATGCGTGGTCGTACAGGGATCGAGGTATTGTACAATCCACATTAAATCGTTAAGGGTGTTAAGTGACCTCCTTTTGTCATGCACCGCTAGAGCAATTCCACAAAGTTCTTGATCAAGTCTAGACATAAATTGAAGGTCCACTGCCATAGTCTAAGGGCTCTGGTTACTAGCATGAGTCAGATGCTTCACCTGGCCACACAACATCATGCCTACACTACTTAGACCTGCTGTTACCAGCAGGTCGACAGCCATAATCGGAGTTCCAGCACTAAAATTACATACCTGCAACACAGGTCTGGTGTAGTCTGCTTCCAAACCACATCTGACTTTTTGTAATAAAGCGATTTCGGTTGACTACACACTATGTCCAGCGAAAATGACACAAATGCTGATTAATGGTTCAAGGCAGTTCAGTTCTTGGAACAGGTGCTTCACATCTCCTCTAACATGGAGTTAAATATGATGTGTCAGGGCAGACGAATAAATCTGTCTGAGTAATCAGAGGACTAAATGCTGTCTTTGAATCAAGGGGCTATGAACAGAAAAACAGGCTGTGATTCGGCGCTTACGGGATGCCATTTAATCAGGACTTTTCCTAGGTACAAACTTTCAATGAGGAACGTGACTGCTTAGACGATCTACGAGAAGGGATTATATTGCATCAGGTAGGCACTTGGCTGAAGTTTGTCACTGAGTTGTCGTATTCTATGATGAAACAAAATAAAATGCAGATTCATCACGTACAGGACAAGCTGTTGAAGCTGGTATTATTTGGGTGTCTGGCGAAAAGGTTAACCTAATGGAGTACTTAAAAGGCTTAATCATCGATTGGTGATCCAATATTAATAGTCAGTTGAGTGTAGGTCCACTTAGCTGCGTGGATGGATTGGATGGAACGAGTTGCAGATTGGCAGTCGCTAGAATAAATCGTAGGCATTTCAGTGTCCATCAGAACGACGATGAACTCAAATGCAGCCTTGTGAATAGTCACAAATTTCATATAATGTTAGTTGGACTGACACAAGGAAAAGGCGTATTTCTCGCACAGCTAGACGTTCCCTTATGCCTATCTGCGAGGTTGCACAACTTGTTCGTTTTATGAGCACATCGTGAAGCATGTCGACTCATCGCCATCTCTGGAACTCTTGACGCCAGTTTAGACACCCGCCTGCTGGTGTCGTGCACAGAAACACCGTAGCCTAGCTTACACGTCTCCAAGTCAAGCGTGCTCATTAAAGGAAGAGCAGGGTAAATTCGTCCAAGTCCAGTCCACGCCATTTAGAAATCTAACATGTAGAAGTGGTCGACTTATTTGGCAACGGTGTCCCAAGTTTTTCCCAACGGCTAAAACCACCCTTGCTGACAAGGCGCCACTTTTTTCTTGTCTTCGACATATTTCCGGCTTGTTGCAATGCTGTCTAAACCACCGTCAACACAACACCTGCCTACCGTGGGAGGGATGAAGTCGATTGCGTTTGACCGGCGTAACACGGACACATTTAGATGGGGAAGTGATCCCATGAGGCATGGAATCAAAATCAATGCAAAACAATGTGAAAGTGTCAAATACATCACGTTTGTCAGAGGTGCCCGTGCATCCTCGCAAGTGTTCCTAATCTTAGTCCAATTTCCCAGTCGTCAGGTCACCATCTGTCATGTGGTCATGCTCTGTCTCTCTTAATCAACATGCACGCGGTAAATCGATATCTGATTGCTTATTTAAAGAAACTCAATCTGCCTGACCTCCACCAGGTCAGAAATAGCTTTGGCATTTCCGGTACCCATAATCATGCACCATCAATATTTTGTAGCTCAGTTGCAAAATCAATTCATCGCAAAACGAAATAATAACAAACAAACAAGCTCTGTATTCTTGATCAACAAGTGAGGAAGCAAAATCATTTGAATAGAGATGGTATGTATGCAAGATCGTGGACATTGTGTCCCGATCGAACGAAATTTGCCATGTTCACGAAGATGTTCAAATCAACCTTAGCACTACTGACATCATTGCAACTGGCCGCAGTGCTTGACGCGATGTTTGCAAAAAAACTCCACTCAGAAAACTTGTGAAATTCCCAAGTTAGGAGGAATACCCTAAAAGAATCATTTCACATCTATTCGGTATTAGGGAGATTAAGCATGACAAAATATGACGGATTAAGTGTAGCCAATTTTTATCAAACTCTCAGTGCACCAGCATTAGTCAATAAATCATCTGCAATTGGTGTGTGTTCCCACTACCTATGAAGGTTACAGGACTTCATCACATTTGAGATAATTTCAGAGACAGTAGCCAGCCATCTTGTCTTGATGAAAAAACTAAAGCGCTTACCGACGACGACTGCGACAATGAGGATTACCCGAGGCCATTATTTTCCCACCTACCCGACCGCGCCTCCTAATGATTTGACAGGATTGGACGCTTTATTTCCACCGGCGTAAGACGAAGACATTTATTCAGGCGCAGGTTGAGGCAATTATTTCGTGAAGTGACATAGGTTCGCATGTGAAGTCAGGACTCAAATCCGAGAGTTTACTCATTTGAAGATAATCCTGTATGACCTATTGGTCTTTCACATCAGTCTTGATAAACATCTTACCCCATTTTGTCAAACTGGCGCTTATCTCCATGCCAGCTTATGGCATTACCGCTAACTCTACAGAATTCAACTCTATCTACGCTGCACCTCGATACGTCTATTTATTGGCGCGTATGCCCGTTATCGTCTGCGTCGTTTACCTTCTACTTGGCATCGTTGTTTAAAAAATTGGAACGCAACTTCAGAGACCAAAGCTAAATTTGAAATACTCTTATATTGTATTGACGGATCCCTTGCTTCCACCAGTGCCTCTTAGCTAAACTATCAGACAGAAGATGCACGCTTACCAGAAATCACGTGTTTTGAAAAGACTACGACTACAAATTGCAACGAAAGGCTAGTTGCGTCGGTTTGGTGTGACACAATCGCGTGTGCATTTATGTTCCCTACATCACATCGGTTTGGTGGCTTCGATGTGAGGATGAGAGCAACCACGGACCAACACAAAACTCTAATGTGATGTGATTTCGCTTGTCACCAAACAAGACAACTAATCGATCAAAATGTCCGTGTAAAATTAGAAATCGGAATCAAAACACACACCAGACGATAGAAGGTTGCGAGACACATCATTTATCGTTCCTATTCGTCTTCTTCTTGTTCTTCTTCCTCTTCTTTTGCTTATTGTGATCATTCGTGGTGTCTGGTTGGACGGGACGACATTTGCTCCGGTCGCCAATTGGACAATGTTCTAGAACCTCAAAGAAGGGGCATCGACTGAGTGGGTTATTAGGTTCAAACACCGGAGAACTTGTGTCTGAATCGTCTTTTCTACACTGAAACAATTGAGCGCAGTCGAGGAGCCCGCTAGT